AAAAAATTAAGTGTAATCTCTTCCGTTTAACCCTTATTATAAAACAGTAAGGATAGGAATATCTTCCAAATAGTATTTTTTTTATTCTCTTTTTAGCTCAACATTTTACGTACCTCCTGCAACTCAGTGAACTACAATTCTTAAGTTTATTTGTCTAACCGTTATTTTACTTTTGGTACAATTCTATTGTATTCACTAAATAATAAGTGTTGCTTTTAAGTTTTAACTTGATTGGCAACTAACGAAGTATAAATGTAATGATTTCTTGACGAATAAAGTACAATTTCAAAGTACAATATGATTGTTAAGATGAAATATAAAAAAAATTCGATCGCTCATGGTTTTGTCAGGTTTTAGACTTTTGTACTTACTATTGACTAGAACATAACTGCAAGAAATAGGCTGACCAGAACGAACAAGAACGATTGCGGAATCTACTACTATTGTTTGATAGTCATCCTGATCTGCCTATCATAGCCGGGTTTTTGTTAATCAAGGCGCGTCTCAGCTTTCGGTTCAGTGTTTGGGCGATATTAAACAAATCACCGAAACACTGAAGATGGCGAAATACCGAAACGTCTGACAACAAAACCCGTCGAGGGTAGGCGGACCAGGATGATGGCTATCACACAATAAGTTTTGTCATCCCTCAGACCCCAGAAGGAATTCTTATAAATTATCAATCGCTTAACGCTTTATATACTTACAAGTACAATTTATTTTTAATTGTTGTCATTCGAATCAAATAAGGTCGGATTATAGACAAGGAAGTAATAATTAATAAGCTAATGAAAAAGTTCGAGAACGATATAGGCAATGGGATGTAAATTCGTGATTCTTTAAGTCGCGGAGGGCATCGAGTCAAAAACTGAATGGGCCAATCTCCGCATATTGACCAACTTCACACACTTATTTCTGAGAAAATGTCAACAAGTCAATAGGTTATCCTCTTATTTTGCAAATCGCACGAAAACATTTATTTTTATTATTGCGACTTCGCAAAAAATTCTACTCAACAGAATTTTCTAACTAAAAAAATCAATTAAAGAGAAACCTATTATGTTTAGTGTCTGATAGACCAAATTACTTCTTTCAATTAATTCTTTTTATATTTTTTTTTCATTTCAACCAAGACCTTACATAAAAAAAATATTTAAAGAGAAAGTTGTTCCTTACATAGTTGTCGTGACCACGTGTATTTTTTGACTTATCAGCGTTAATCTTGCATTCGCTCAACACGCCTCGCTCAAGCAATAAAGTTCGTGAACCCTCCAATTAACAATTTAGACTGCTTAATATGGTAATGAAACCTCCAAGGTTTTTTTTCAACCGCGAATACAAACAAAAGTTTCGCTCTTTCAGATACTCCATTTATTTTAAAGAATGTGAATGAATAACTGTTCGGCTATTTCAAAGATAGTTATTTCTTTATAATAAATATTATGTGCGTTTTTACAGTTACCATTGTGGGGGGTGCCCATGGGTAGTGCCCAGTCATCCTCCCGTTACACTCGATTGAAACCGTCCTAAATTGAGACGTTTGTGGCAAGGACCGTGACCGATCCGATTTCGTGAGCCTTCAATCATTTTTCCATTCTAGTCGCTGTTCCTGGCATTTCTTTCACCTTTATTATTTCCGTCTGCTTTCACTCAACAAGTGAAGTAATTAAACCGTGCCAACATATTTGCTTACGGTGGTAACGACGGCACAGTGAGCAATATTTATTTTTCTTTGCTAATGAAATGCAAATCAATCTATACCTGCAAGTCTTTGTTCAGAAATTATCATAGTTTGGGCCGTATCTAATAGTTTTGGTGTCTTAGGTCTGTTTGGTTCCCGGTCGTTTGCTGATAACGGACCTACTGAAAATGACGAGAAGCCGACAGTCAAACGAAAACTCCGAGGGTGGACAGTCGTTGGCAGCGACCAAACTTCAGGTTCTTCAACATATTTATACCAAGCAGTGTCTTGGAGTTTATAGCAGCACTTGTAAAATTTGACACCTATTGAAATCTTTAAAATGATTTTTATTATTTCAAATCTAATTATTATTAATTCCAGTTTGTTCTATATAGTTTTATTATTGAAATCAAAACCATTAGGTGTTTAGCTTAAGACAACCAATTATTGTCCCCTTTATGGCCAAAGGTTGCTATTTATTTTTTCAATAGTTCGTAGTATTTATTTGAAATATTAGGCAAGTGAGGATGATTCAATTTTTTGATAACATAATTTTACTTAAGTCTCGAAGATCCATTGATTTGTATGTCTGTGTTTGTCTAATTTATGTTTCCAATTATCTAATTGTCATAAATCATTGTATTAAACGAACGTTTTTATACCCAATCAACAAAACATTTTTCTTTTCTTTGTTCTTTCTTCTTGTTTTTGGTTGTTCTTCATTTCTTCGTTTATATGAATGTGTTAATTTTTCTTATTTCTAATGGTGACCATTTTTTAAAGGTGCTTATGTTCTTATGTCTTGTATGGCCTCACCGGTTGTAAATATTCTTTCCTACGTTTAATCACCTTCAATAAAGACCTAGAATATAAGGGAAAAACATTTTTCGATAAATAGCATTTGACTTTCTCTTTCTTTCTCTCTCTCTCTCTCTCTCTCTCTCTCTCTCTCTCTCTCTCTCCCACCCTCCCGGTGTTTTTGACAAAAAGCCCTTTGTAAGTATGTCCGGTTCGAATAAGGGGCCGCTGGTTTCGAACCAGGGATCTTTACCTCACAGTGACGAGCGTCGTATCAACGCTTACACCGTTGCGGCCAACGATGCCCCCAAGTACTATTTCTTTTACATATTATTATTATGTTTTACTGTTTTAAAGATTATGAACGTAAATTGAACGGAAATTATGTAACAACTTAAAAGGAAGCTTTTGTCATATTTGATTCATTAATTAATGTTATTATTGCATATATAATTTATAATGATTATTCCTTAAACTAACAATTTACTCCTTTCAGTCCTTTCAATTAATTAAATTAAGAGATTTGGTTGAATTTATTGACAAAGATCCCAATGTAGTAGTAATTTAAATTTAATTATATGTACTATCCTACTACTATGAGTAATTGAATATATTCCAAATGACTTCTCGCCAAAAAAACAAAAAAAAACAGTTCAATTGTTTTTATGGATTTCAACACGGAATGTAGGAGGATCCGAAAATTTCAAAAGGACAGCCATTGACGAAGAACAGCTGCGTTCACACCGCAGCATGACAGCTGTTCAGCCTTTTGTTTACAGTCGGCGCACGGTTTTACAATCCGATGTAAAATTTACTTTGGAACCGCACCAGTTTTAAACAATGAACGTGCGGTCGTTCGACGAGCGAAACGTCGTCCTTCTTACGGGCTTACTTTCCGGTAATCTATTAAACATTCCCATCGTCATCGGTGGTTCATTGTATGCTGTGATCATGCGCATTCAGAAGCAACAATCGATTCATCGCCATCAGCATTCATCAAATGGGTATTTATGCAAACGCAGGTCGACAAGTCTCACAGGTCGAGTTTAGAAAACCAAAACTACACTTTTTTTAATAAATTTTGACAAAAAGTATGTTTTGTATTCCTCACTATGTTTTGCGGGTGTTTAAAAATTATATAGTTAAAGTGCTCTTTTTTTCCCCATTAATATGCAATAACGTGTTTTCTATAAAATGTGCATTTTTTAAAATTTATAAACATATCATTGTTATAAATAAAAAAAATTGCACAATATAGTTTTCAGTTTTTGTGATGTGATAATTGATAATTTTATTATTCAATATTTAATTTTTTGTCAATCTTCTATAATAAAATGACAAGATGACATGCTTTTTGACTAATGAATTTCATTCGGTATGAATATTTTCTAATTATTTTATTATAAAATATTTGTCCATGTATGTTTATGACTTTATAGCTATAAATCTCCCTATTTATATAATCTCTTTTATATAAACTAGGCTGTTTTATTGTAGTGTACCCTAGTGTGTGAGAGTGAATGTATTTATTAGCATGACTTTGTAGTGTGATATGGTTGATGGGGAAATATTGAATACCCACCCCATCGACTCTCAATTAGGTTAGTTATACATATGTATATATGGTGATGGAAGAATATCGATATACTCCACCATCTTAATTAATGAATGGTATTTAAATAGAAGGGAATATATTTAAGGACGAGTGAGAGTGTGATTTGGATCTAAGACCTGCATGCGTTGGGTGCTGAATTGACCTACCTATTGACAGCATCCGGAGGTCAACCTCGGGTTATGGACGGTTAAAACCTAGGCCTGACCCTGTACTGCCGACACCGCCGGTGTACTGCTAGCAGTGATAAGCTCAACTCTATGCATGTGCATATATGTACACACATGTGAAAATTTGAGTTTATATAAATCCAAATTTTAAAAAAATTGTTTATGTACCAAAATATTTACTTCTCACTTAAATTTATTCCTGTTTAAAAAATCAGATTTTTTCCACTTTCCAGATAACTATCCTTTTGATAATAACCTAATTTAAACCTCATGCATAAATCGTAATCAACATAATTTGATGCACTACTTTAAACGTGCAGGTTTTTTTCCCCCAAACAATATCACGAGAGTGAACGTAAAATGGCATGCGCATGAAAGAAAAACAGTAACTATGTATATATATTTTTTTAATAATAGTCAGCACCGTTACAGTAAAAAATGGGTCACAAGGTTACATCAATTTGTATATTTAGTACCACAAGAATTTACGTTGAAGGTAAGCTGCCTATTGGTTTTATTATAGCAGTTATTTGGGTTGTTTGGAATGTTTTCGTTACCTTGTAGACAAGTTTAAATGATTTTATTTTAGGAAAACTGCCTAAATGTGAATATTTATGTCAAGGGGTAGTTTTTTTAAAAATTAAATCGTGGAAAATAGTGCTTTAAACATGCATTTCAAATTTTATTGGAAAGAATGAACGAAAAAATAGAATTTTATCTGATTGACTGAGTGACTCACCTTATGAAGTGATCTTGTATGAGGTCCATGTCAAATTCGTGTAACCACTGTCAAAAAGCGAGACGAAACGGACCGATTGAACGTAATACGATGTCGAATACGCGTTCAAATTAAAAATCTCTCAGCCTGGAGAGTGGAGAGTTGAACATAGCGTATCACTGAACACGGATTGAGAATGGACTGGCGTACTTCGGGCGGAGGGGATGAGTGAAGGCGAATTCGCCCCCACCCAAGATCGGAGTTACGCCCACCGGCGGCGGGGGTGGCCAATCCGGCTCGGCCCTCGCCGCCACCACTCCCATCGCCCCCAAAAACCACCCCTTCTGTCTTTCCTCCAGGCCTGGATCCTCTTTTAATGAACTCGCCCTTCCAAGATAGGGATAGGGCCTCCTTTCGACTAATTTCACCGCTTTTCGACTTTTAATCGCTGTTATAAAAACGTTTTTCCCCATTTAAATAATTAAAAATTTCTTCCCTTCTTTCTGCGCCCCTCTGGTCGAAACAGGAAGAACGGGTTTCCTCCTTCGTTTTTTTATATTTCTTGTAAAAGGGTTGATGACAGGCTACCAGCGCCCCGAGACTCACTTCTCCCCTTTGACTCCCTTTAATGGCATTCAAATTGTAATTTGATACTCATTGAATTCCATTATGACATTGTATAAATGGTAAATAAAAAAAGCGATTTTCAGGGAAAAAATGTTTATCTTACCCTTCGAGACGAAATCTGATCGCTGGTAATTCTTCCAACTACAATAGCAATCTACAATGAAGTTTTTACTTTCTTTATCACGCATAATCTTTAAACTAATAGTCTCTCCAGTTACATACACAAAAAAAGAAGCTAAATCCAATAAAGCTGGGCTGTTTAAGCAGCAATGATTATTTAGACAACAAGCAGTCACGTGAAATTTCAAAAATGGAATGTTTTATTTCTACAAATTTCATCGCCCCTAAAAATGGTCTAAAATTTGAAACAATATTTTCAACTTTATGACTAATTATTACCCATCCTTAAGTACTAACAAAACATAGTTTAAAAAAAGGAGTCTATCCCCAACAATATTACATTAACCTAGCTTGACATTTAATGCGACTTCAAGCTTTCAAAGCACAAAAAGCTCAAAAGATGGGGGAAAAGTCCAGGTTTTTTTAATACTCTTTACCGTGTAGAAATGTGTGGTGATTAGTGAACGTTTGTCGATGATTCCTCAGAAATCGTGAGATGCGGTCTGATGTGATGTAGGTATCAGAAAAACCTTTTCTTTATCGTGCCAACGTTTCGATCTTTATTGAGATCATCTTCAGGGCTTGGAATTTACAAACATTGTTTAAATTTAACAAATACATGTAGGATGTGGAAAAAGTGAATTTATACAATGCAAATAAATATTTTTTTATATTAAATCAAAGTATTTCTACTCACTCAGTGTTTGTTTTCTGTGTAATTGCCAGTGAGTAGAAATATTTTGATTGAACATAAAAAAAATATTTATTTGCATTGTATAAATTCACGTTTTTCCACATCCTACATTTATTTGTTAAATTTAAACAAGTTTTTAAATCCCAGGCCCTGAAGATGATCTCAATACAGATCGAAACGTTGACACGATAAAGAAAATGTTTATCGGAAACCTACATCGCACCAGACCGCATCTCACGATTTCTGAATAATCATACTCTTTACCCTTAAACCAATCAAATAATCAGGTTTTTCCTCATAAAATTGACAATTTTTTGTGACATTTCTTCTAGAGGTCTCACATACCAATAATGATGAAATTAGGTCAAGAAAATATCAATTGTGAGTTTCCTCCTCCCATAAGTAAATCGTGGGTGATGAATCTAATTCCTAATAGTTTTGGCCTGACAGTCGGGTTTTGGAAGAACGTGAGAATTTTAGTTTATCTCTAACCTTTTGTTCGGTACATCATCGAAATCCACCACTGAGGAATGCGAAAGACTAGTTTGAATAAACGGAAATGATCCGAAACGGTCAAGCTGCGGAAATAGATTTGCCGGAGTAAGGTCTGGCCTAAATGGTAGGTAAGGCAACGGGAATTCACGCCTTTTGAAGATCCTCTAAATTTAACTTTTCCTTGTACCGATGGTAACTCTGACATTATTAGCGATACCTGGCTGGAATAGAACTTATTTACGGTTAAAGTGGTTGTGACAATTTCTCGTACATCCTTTCAGATTGTGACATTACAGTTCAGAGTTTATACAACATCCATCCGGAACAAATTCTTGATAAGTACATTTTCGTTAAAAAAAAAATTATTTATTATTTAGATTTATAGCCTACTTGCAGCAACCGCGTTAGTATTAATCAGTTATTAAATTAAAGTTAAACTTAGTTTTGCAATATTTATTGACCGTTGGATTTTCAAAACAGTTGTACTTATTAACTGTGCACCGGATAATCCAAACAAGTTGGATAGTAGTGAAAGTAATATAACGTGTACAATACGTACAATTTTATCTCCCCTGTGGGAAAATGGGCTATTATTTTTACTTTAAAGTTTTTATTAAATTATTTTGTACAATTATGGACAAATATTAAAAAGATATTTACATTTAATACATATTCACAAGCAGACAGAGAGGCTATTATTTCTGTCATGTTTATTATTATAAAATAATTGTTATATATTCGCGGACAATAAGAATATTAGAAAGTATTTAACCATATTTTCTATAATTAGAAAAATGATTATTCAGAAATCGTGAGATGCGGTCTGGTGTGATGTTTTCTTTATTTTCTTTATCGTGCCAACGTTTCGATCTTTAATGAGATCATCTTCAGGGCTCAAAGTGTTTGTTTTCTGCGTAATTGTGCCATTCTTGCATGCCGTGTTGAGAGCACTCTCTGTCTGTTGGGCACTCTCAGAAAACAAACACTTTGAGCCCTGAAGATGATCTCAATAAAGGTCGAAACGTTGGCACGATAAAGAAAATCTTTTTCTGAGATCTATATCACACCAGACCGCATCTCACGAGTTCTGAATAATCATCGACTAATCACCAGACAAAATTAGAAAATTTTTTTAAAACACTTTAATACAATAAAACTGGAAACTATAGACTCAATAACAAACAAAAACCGGACATATATTCATTTGTTTATTTGTCATAATAACAGGGTATAAAGATTAATAGTTGACATAAAAAGTAAATACAACATCAATAACTTGTTTCCCTATCCTTTTATACTGTTTAGATTAAAAATAGTGAAAATCAGTTCAATTTCGTCCTTTCAAGCGCCAAATTGTCTAGTGAGTTAATAGCTTAAAAACAGAAACAATAAATTTCAGTAAAACGTTATTTACCTATTAATATTTTTTCCTTAAAAGCACGGTTTTAAGTCCAGAAGATCTCGCCCGGGCAGTTGTTTTGGCATGTTGCCCAACCGTCATAGCATCCGTTACAATATCCAAGTCCTGGAGGTGCCGCGCTTTAACACCCACGATGATCTTCAGCAGTTTAGGGCCTCCGTAAGTCTCTTTTGAAGAAGAGGGTAGTGGTCGATCGTGAGTCTAGAGACAACCGTTTTATTGTTTTTACCGCACTACGGAATCGTTATTTAACGGCTTCCCTAATAGGTAGTCAACTCCAAACGGTCCTTAATTAAGGGTGAGCTATAAAACAGTCATCAGAAAGTAAGAATAGCCTAGACTTTAGACCTTGGTATCAGGCTCTCTACAACTGGAGAGGCATCAAGTATAAAGGCGTCTATTTGCAAATCAGAATCTCTTGGACAGTTGAACAATGGGGGACGTTCTCTTCACAGATGAGTGCCAATGTGGTTTGTGGCAATCAGATGACGGGGACCGTGTGTGGAGAACGCTTAATGTGCCATGCGTGAGCCACAGTCTTTTTAAAGACAATTGTGGTACGTAGTGAAATCAACGTCCATTCACGTACTGAATCATTGACTGTACTAATGAGGAAATCTTCTGGAAAATGAGGTCCATTCGCTCCATTTATTGGGGAAAACTTCATGTTAATGTATGATGAAGCGTATGTAAATAATGCAAATGCATGTAAAAGTTACCGTTAAGGTATATTGAATATTAAAACAAATAGCACACTATATATACATCTCTGAAATTTCTTTATAAGGGATGAGGGTGTTCCGTGTGTTGAATTGATCCAAGACCAAACTGATCTGTAACGACCAAAATACTGGTTCATTATCGTGCAGAACTCTCAGAGCATTTTCAAAGTGTGGCTTTAACTTTGTATGTAAATAATTAAGGTTTTTAGTTGAGATAAAAAAGTCAATGGCACGAGCGGGATTCGAACCCACGATCTTCGGCTAGATACGCCGCTGCTCTACCACTTGAGCTATCGTGACCACGATCCACTTGGACTCTAACTTCCCATCTCAACCCCACCTTTTGAATTTTCTCCCCTTTTTGCCATTTTTTATCTCATCTAAAAACCTTAATTAATTGTAATATATTAATTGGTCAAGCGGACCACGAAATTAGTGAATTATAAAACTGAAGTATGTATTTGCAATGACGGCTTGCTCTCTTAAAATATGCTTCAGAAGAAGTTTTATCCTTTCTTGTAGCTTTGGTTACCTATTCGCTAATAAACTAGTTTCATTGGATTTCCAAATTGGTTAATAATATTTCACCCAGGGTTAGCAATTTAGCTGTGCCCCTTTTTTACTTGGAAATTGATAGTTTTTAGGGTTATATTTTTACTACATAACTTCACTTACCATGTAGCTTGTTCACAACGACACACGCTTTTTGTATACCTCCATCTTCAGTGTAAAGTTAAACTTTGAAAAAAATGTTTTTTTCAAATTTCTCACTACTAAAACACTTATTTCACGAACGTTTACGAGTTTAGTATTTATCGCATCTTATTTGTAATTTATTTAGAAATCGTGAGATGCGGTCTGGTGTGATGTAGGTTTCAGAAAAACATTTTCTTTATCATGCCAACGTTTCGATCTTTATTGAGATCATCTTCAGGGCTCAAAGTGTTTGTTTTCTGTGTAATTGTGCCATTGTTGCGTGTCGTGTCGAGAGTGCTTATTTGAAATTTAACGTAGTTTTCAATAGTATCAATGGATTTGTCCAAAATGGTTTAGTTTTGGAGTTATCATTGTTTATTTAAAGCAATGTCGGGAAATCTTTAAAAATCATGAAAAGTGACTCCTCCGAAACTGCTGA